AATATTATTTGTATAAATTAATCGAAGTGTAAACAAACCACCTTAGTACGTAAATATAGATGAATTAATCAAAGTGTGAACAGAACACCTTGAGTATTAGTACGCTTTTGTTAACCATACAAGTACTATAGCATGTTTGAGGTCACAAGTTTCAACAATAGAAGCTTCAAATGCTCTACTTGCGATGTCTAAGGAAAATTAGTTTCTCATGTCTTCGTTTTTTCCTAAAACTTCGTATCAATTCAAACTAAACATAAATTGAAATGGAGGGAGTGATGATGACCCAAATATTTACAAATGAAAACAGAAGTCATACACTCTCTCTGCACACGTTTGTTTATACAATGTTGAAAGACCCTTGATGTTAAATTCTTACAGAATCAAAGATATAAAGCTCTTGGGAACTTATTTAAGCAGACCTATATTCTGAACAATGGAAGCTCTGCTGATGAGTGTGCAGCAGTTAGCAGGCACGTGCCTCGGTTAGTTGCCTGGTAACGGGTCCATAGCCACCTGATACTTTCAGTGACGCAAAGAGGCAGGATAATCGAGCTATCATTGGCTGTGTTCTTGCAATTCGGGGAACAAGGGCTATCTCCTTACCACGACTATCGTCAGAAGAAGAATGATACCCTTCAAGATCTGCTTTAGTGATCAACACAGCGTCAATAGAGAGTGGAGAAGATGCCATTCGATGCCGCTTGAATCCTTGAACAGCCTGTTTTAAGGAAAAAGATATGTTGACACACAGCTAAACTTCCTATGAGAAAATTTACTCGAAATGTTCTTTACCTTCCATTGAGAAGGAGCCAATAGAACTCTAGGTCTTCTGGAACGGACATATTCCAGCGCTGCAGCAGGAGTCATATTCTTATATTCGACCTAAATTAGTGAAAGAATCAACCTTTTAGTCATTTGAAAGTTGGCTAAAAGTTCTGGAAGTAAAAAAACTAGCGGGCCAAGAAGCATTGCCCAAATGGGTTAAGACAGCTACCAAATAGCAAAGCACAACAGTTGTGCTCCTTCCCCTTCCGGCCTTGCAATGCACATAAGTAGTCAGACCACAGGATGCATTCCCTGCAACAGAGAAGCGAAAAAAGGAAGTGAGGAAGGACCCTACGATAAGTCAATAATACAGAAGATAAATGACAATCACTCACTGTGAATAAAATCTACTGCTCGGTTTATATCCACGAAAGAGGGTGCAAAAAGATAATCTCTGGTTGGAATAACGAGATGGTCTATTCCATGGGCCTGAAATCAGAGTATAGGACATGTGAATACACTTCTACGTGTGGAAACCCATTTCCACCATGCATTAATAACAGGATCAAATTAAAAAGGATAAAAAAGAATCAGACAAATTGTAAAGGGTATCAAGGAGTCTCTTGAAGATACCGACCTCTGCAGCAGACTGTAGTTGCAGAGATGGGAGGAAGGGGGAAAGCTATTCCGTGTCTTTGTATAATACAGGCAGAAGGTGGTGTCCACCTCAGGTAGTTAAATATGGGTTTTAGAAATAGAGAAACGTGTTTTTACTGATCCATATCATATGAGATCAAAACTGTGAAGTTTCAATGACAGAACATGATAAAAGATACTTTTGTTCTTGTTGACAAAAGAAAAATATTCTAATGTCAAAGTTGTGAGAAACGAAAACTAATACCCTGCTATATGCACACACCAATCAACAAACTAAGCAAATATAATTTGAGCTACTCAAAAACGAACATCACAGGCTGAAAATCAGATATCGACAAAAGAAATTATCCAATTGAAGTCGACCAAAATTAACAACAATCAATCACACGAAAATGGACGATACTCAACATATGTATCACTCACATGATACAATGATGACGGTACCAAAGTTTCATAAGGTTCATTCAGCGTTATTACACCACCAACACCAAGCTGCTTCAACCGAGGGACATCCGATGGGAATGGAACAGCTCCAAGAAGGAGAAACTGAACAAACAAAAAAGCTGAGTCACAAAGACATAGACCTAACATATTAAACTAATGGAGGACAAATGAGAAGTATTTGTTTATTTCTCCCTTTAGACTTTTCTTTATAAGAGCAGGGTGGGGAAGCAGGAACAGGAGGAGGCAATTTCCTTACTTCTTCAAAGTCGCAAATGTGCAAGCAACTAAAAAATAAGTTAATGCACACAACAACTCATCCTTATACAAAAGCATATAATATATTGAAAATTACAATAACAGACCAATAAAATTCACTTTTCCCCGCATTTCCACAGATAAAAACTGTCAAATTGGACTAGATAAACCCCGTTAGCAGGCAAGCATCCATCTGCAAAGACAACCACATAACAAAAAGGCATTTTTTGGCGAGTCCAAAAGTTTTCTACAACGATTTTCTGAAACATCTGTCAAATATCTTACAACTATGGACATCAAACTGTGCATAATTTCTTAATATGCGATTCTACTTCGAAACACTGAGAGATCATTGAAAAAATAAAATGCATTGACCTAGTTATAGGGAAAGGAGTGCAAACTTATGTTAAGGATGAAGTAAACCTGATCGATTTGATCCCACCATCTGAACTCCGATTGAATTTTGTTACGAAAAACATTGTACAAAAGTGTCGGATAGAAGAGGATTCGAGCTCCAGCACCAACCAACACTCTCTTAGCATCAACACCAACAATCACACGTCTCTCAGAGTTCACACACTTACTATCACCTTCTATTAACGAGTCATCCAATTCCACAATCTTCATTTTCACTAACTCCTAATCCACTGAACTGATCAAAGCTAAAATTTGAACCCTAAATTGATCAAAACAACGGCGTCTACACCGAATACTGAACTATACATAAATCAAACAAATCTATCACATGCTAGACCAAAAATCCTCATTTCCAAAATCCTAAACAATCAAACGAATTACAGCTAAAGACTTAAAATCCTAAATTGATCAAAACAAGAACTTTGTTAAAATCCTAAATTGATCAAAACAAGAACTTTGGGGGTTCTACAATGAATACTGAACTGATGTTAAACCAAACTTATTCAAAGCTAAGAATTGAACCCTAAATTGATCAAAATGAAAACTTGGGGGTTCTACAATGAACATTGAACTGCACAAAAACCATACACGATCTTCATTTTCACCAACCCCAATCAACCAAAACGATTGCAGCTAAAAATTGAACCCTAAATTGATCAAAACACAAACTTGGGGGTCTACACTTAACATTGAACTGTACAAAAACCATACACGATCGTCATTTCCATGATACCCACTCAACTAAACTGATTGAAGCTAACGATTTGAACCCGAAAACTGATAAAAACAAAAAAAAAAGGTTTGGAGGATTGAATTGTTAACTATTTTGGGTGAAAATTACATCGATCGAGAGAGAAAAAGCAGGAGATTGTACAGAAATGGAGATTTTGAGGGGTAATTCGATGATAATCGTAAGAAAACTGGGGATTTTCGAAGATTGAACTGAGAGGAATCTAGAAGAGAAGAAAATTGGACCAATAGAACGAAAATTATGAAAAAAAAATTGGAAAATAAGAGCAATGAAGGCAAATAATTTAGGCCTGGAATTAAGGATATTTACAGAAATGTCCAAGTTTGGAAATGTCACGTGACTTGCATGTTGCTTATTCGACGGATCGGATGGATAATTATGATTAACAATTTGACTTATCGAATATATATTATTCCGATAATCAATCAATAAGCTATCGTTTGGTTCAGTATAGGATTAGAAATTATCGAGCGGTGTTTTTCACTTTCACTCACCAATATATTAATTTCTCATTTAGACAAATGTTTTTCTCTAACCCTACTTACATACAGTAAAAATGTAATTATGATAAAATTCTTAACGGGTTAACGATTTACGCAATAAAGAAATTGAGTAATCTACCTAGCAACAATAAATCTTTAATTATAAAATTTTAGCTCATTCATCGGTAATTAGTCTAATAATTCAATGTCAATAAATCAATTTTGGAGTTGACTTATCGATTACAGTTTAATTTTGAACAACCTAGTTAAAAGAAATTGAGAAAAGCATGTGTTTGGCAATTTTAATCTTCAAAATTTAGGTTATTTTAAATATTATGATTTATTGGTATCAAATCAATATGGTTCATACTTCATACACCTTAAACTTTTTAATTGGTGGTAATTAAACTAAAGAATTCGAATTATTAATATGTTATTCTTACCGTATTAAATGATTCGCTTGTTTAAAATACATAGTGAAATCTCAATTCATTGAACTTTTCGATATAATCAAATAAAATGTTTGAAAGACGTAATATTCTATACTCTCAATTCTCAATGTGATTTGACTAAATCTCAATAGGATCAAGCCATACTTCGTTCTTCTCTTCTTCAAACTCTGAACCTTAGTATTAGTAAAGCGAAATCGCTGATGTAGGATGTAGAATAGAATAAGAGTCTTTTTGTATATCATATCTAAGAAATTTTTCGATTCGAAAAGAAAGCAACATCAAACATCATTGAATTGAAGGAAAGAAGCAACGTCAATCATCACTATTAAATTGACAATAGATTTCTTTCCGTCAATAAAAAATGTCTTATAAAAGTTCATTCTATTTCTAATAAGCCGTGAATTAGATCAAAAATACGATCATCAAGTCCACAAGGCGTGTTCTAATTTTCCGAACAAATTCAAAATTAGCTCGATCCTGACACTTTATTGTGAATATAACTGAGTTAATAGTTAAAACACACCCATAAACTATCAATCACTTTTTCATAAATTTCATTTCTTAACTATCACTTATTTATAACACATCGATTAAAAAAATATAAATAATTAAAAAATAAAACTCATTATAAGTCGATAATTTAAATATATTTTTGACCATTAACTCGATATAAAATATTTCCATCTAAACCTATCAACGGTTCTTTTCTTTTCCTCTCTCTTCTTTGCCTTTACCGTAAGGTTTCGGTTTGCTCTTCAAAATTTTCTTAGAGCGAAAATGCAGAGCACTCAAGCAAAGTATATTTCCCTTTTACCAAATTCAATTCGAAAAACCAGTGATTTTTCTTCAAGAAATCTTGCATTGAACCATTCAAATTCATTTTCCAGAAATGGGGTTCTTCCCAATTTGCATTTGCGTTTGCAGAAACCGATTGTATCAGCTTGGAAAAAGAAAAAGCCATCTGGGTCTGTTAGATCAACGAAAATCATGCTAGAATCAGCTTACTTCATTGCGTCAAAGCTCAAGCTATTGCCAGAGCCATTGGATTCTATTATAAGGGAATTTGGAGGTGGAAATGGTGGTGGTGGTGGGTTTAGGTTTGGGTTAGGGGGTTTCGATGGGTGGGGAAGAAGAAAAGTAGAAAAAAGATGAATTGGGGATTTGGGGTTGTGTTTTTTGCGATTCTTGGTGTTGGGTTATGGTTGATTTTGATGAAAAGATTGGAAATTGATGTGTTTTTGGGTGGTTTAGGTTTAACCCTTTTTGGGTTTTCTGTTAATGTGTGGAAAAGAGGGATTTTGGATTGGGCATTAGGGTTTTGTTGTTGTGCTGCATTGGTAGGTTTGTTGTTGAAACAAGATTTGCAGAAATTGGTTAGTTTTCTTGGTAACATAAAGATTGCTAGGAGGAAGAGGAAAAGAAGACTCTTTTAACTAAAAAATTTTGGTAGTAAAATGATGTTTTTGTGATACATTATAGTATATAGTTTGTGTTCTTTTGTAGGAATTGGTAGAATGTGTATTTTTCTTTGTTGTGAGATTTCATATGTACCATTTTTTCGTTTTGGGTACATCGAAAGATGATTAGATTGATTGCTTAAGGTTTTCTTTTCAAGTATACGAAATGCAAGGTTTAGTTTTGATTGCGATTTCCTCATATGTAGAGCTCAAAATTTTCGTTAATTTGTCTGATATCAGGAAGTATGCTTATTAGTTGAACTATTATCGATTTGATGGGTTTATCTGAGATAGAAGGGCTATTATCAATGTGATTGGTGTATCTTTATCGAAAATAGCCCTTCTATCTCTCAAAATATGTGTAAGGTTTGTGTATACACTACCCTCCAAGACCTCACTTGTGGGATTAAGTTGGGTATGTTAGTGTTGTTGCTATTGTCACTGTGATGCTTTAGTAGAATAACTATCGAATGACCTCTTAATGTGTGTCTATAGACCTCATGATGAAAGCATTCAATCATTTCTCTGAGGTTTCTGGTCTTCATGCTAATATGGACTAAAGCTCACTTTATGAGTTTATGTTGCTGGTGCAAGTGATGGATTTATGCAGCACTTAGTACAATAAATGAATTTCATTATGGGAGAAATGGCCTTTAAAGTATATAGGGGTACCGTTATCCTCAAAGAAGCTTACTGTTCAACAATACATGCCTATTATCGATAGTGTTATCTCTAGAATCAGTAGCTAGATCGCTAAGTTTCTTTCATATAGTGGCAGACTTCAATTGATCATGAAGTCTTCCTTCTTCGTAAACAGATCCTCACCAAAGTGAACCATTTGCAGAACATGTCTTTGTACAAGGAGCAATGAGTATTCAACGAAGGCCTTGTTCTCATGAAATGTGTTGTGTATGTCCAAGTCTGCAAAGGAACCGAACATTCTTAATTTCTTTACCTTGAAGATGGCAGCTATATGTAAGTTGCTCTGGTCTTTGAGTGTTAGACTACAGGTGAAATGGATACGTGGATTTTATATCAAACGCAGAGACATTATACATATGAACATCCCAAAGCAAGCTTGTTGAGTAAGACATGGTTATCAGCTTAATGTAAGACCTCTCTACCTCCCAAGGTAGGGGGTAAGGTCTGCGTACATACTACCTTCGCCAGACTTCACTTGTGGGATTACGCTGGGTATGTTGTTGTTTAGTGTAAGACCTATTTGCTGCTAAATGACGATGTCCAAAGGCAGACCCTTCTTAGAGGGTGCTGTCTCGAGGACTGCTGATAGCTAAGCATGGATCAAATTTTGATTCATTTACTTTCTGTTTGAGACTTGGCTCTTGAGTCCAAAAGACCTAGCTGTGTAAACTTGCCTATTTTGGCTAATGAAAGTCTTTTATCTTGCACCAAAGAACAAACAAACTGGCAAATAAAATGTACAGAAGCTGTCATTGAAGTGTTTTCATTATAAAAGAATAATAAATAAATGAATTTAAATTATATATACATCAGAGTAAAGAACTCTTTAACATTATCTGGTCATGTGAGATTCGTAATCTTGAAAATAAGACATGGTTATATGCTTATAACATGTAAAGATGACCAGGTAGTGTAAAAGTTCTTTACATTGACGATGTATATAATTAAACTCTAAACGAATATGTATGTATGTGTGTGTTGAAAATAATCTGAAGCAATGGAAAAAAGGTATGTGTATATATATATATTTCATGCTCAAACCAGAGTTCACATTTTGGTCATCACTGCATATGAATGAAAAAATGTTATGTCTTTTGACCTCTCGGAAAATGTTGTTGCACCTGTGTCAGGATTTAGAAGTATGATTCTTGATCATCATTGCAAAGTTCCTTCCTGAGTTTTTGAGAGAAAAGCCTACAAGCATCCATACTCAGATCAATGGCAGCCGAAAGAGCGATAAATAGGGCAGCATCAGCCATACAAGTGACATGTTGCACCCCGACTTGAACCATCGGTGTACTAATCTTGCCTTCGCCTTCTACATTTGACACCATCACGAACCCTCTTATCGGAGAATTCGTGCTCAATGCAGTGTCTTTCACTGTATTGTCAATGCAGAATTGACCACCTTTTTTCATGCTCATTGTGCCTTCAGCTATTGGAATGGTACTGGTAAGGCCAGTATCAGTAACAAGCTCGAATTTGTAACCGAGACCATCAACTGGCCCTCTTTCTCTCCACGCCTGGAGTCGACCCCAGTGTTTCCAGCTGCTAACACAGGCGCCATTAGGCCGGAGGATGAGCCATGCTCCGGCATTTGATCGTGAGACGCGGTCTGAACCAGGAGAGGGGACAAATGGTGTGATCATTGAAGCAGCTGCAACAGCTGAGCCTGAAAGATCATAGATTATTATCATCCATCCTTTTCTTTCCCTTCCCGTTCTGTCCCTTTCTCCAGAAAATGTTCTCATCCATCCTCTATTGTTTAAGTTGAAATCAGTTGGTAGAGATCTGTTGCAACACATAAAACAGAGACAAATATCAGCTTACAGACAAATTATTAACAAAATCACTACCTAACAACAATAAATTAAGGGTGTGTTTAGTATGAAAGACAAATGTTTTCTTGAAAAAAACATTTCTAGTGTTCAGTAATCTTGAAAATCATCAAGGTGGGTGCGATAAGGAGTTGGGAGTCAGGGCGTTTAGTTGGGAACAAGATATCCTGAGATTTGAGATTAGTTATTCCGGGATAACTTATCCCACCATGTATATATATGGGATGACTTATTCCGTCACTATAATATAAATAATACGATAACTTATGCCAAACATGACAACCAAACAAGATACAAAAATTCTATCCCATCACTCTTTTTCTTATCCCATGACTATTTATTTTTTTCCCTCGCACCAAACGACGGGGATTTTTCATCTACTATAATACGTACATAAAGAAAGTTCTAACCTTACATATATATATATATATTGAAATTTTTCGTCAAAAGAGGTACTCCGTCCCTAGCCAGGCTAGGTGGAGGGGGGGGCATCCGGGGTTGGGGGAGGAAAATATGACTTATGATACTTGTTTTACTTTTAATACTACGAAATTGATCACCATATTTTTAAGAAACTTATTTTTCAAAATATTTTAATCAATCAAATATGATAAAACGAGAAAACATCACTCTATACCGAATAGGCTCTAAAAGTTTAACTTCTTCGCACTAACAAAAAAATGATTAGAAAACTTAATTTGGTAAACTAAATAGTAAGGTAGGTTTATTTAATAATCCACAAAATTAATGGTAACAGTCAAAGAAGAATATTAATAACTTTTATGAAGAATTTGGAACTAAATCTTTGCACATGGAAAGGGAATCAATGGTGGTTGCCAATTAACACTTAAGTTAATTTTAATTTTTTTGTCTGTTAGATCAAATTAATTATGTTGACTGACAATTCTCTAATCTTTGTCATTAAAGTAAATTGCTCAACTTGATAAATAGTTAATCTTTTGGACCCACAGTTTGCTAAACTATAAGAGAATAAAATCATGAGATAATCTTTAATCAACTTTAGTTAATATCTCCCATGTTAAGAGTAAATGAACAAATCACGTGACAACAATTTTACTAGTTACACTGAAGTTATTTTTATAGTTTAAACACGTGACCTTCTGATTGCGATGACGTGCAACAAGTTTACTAATTACGTCAAAACTCTCCGTCTATTTTTAGTGATGATCATTTCAAAAAATAAAATATCGAGATTTCTCGTAAAAGTTGACTAATGAGCAAAACACTCTAGAGGTTTTTGATATTGAAATTTAATTACGCTACTTTTAAAATTAATATTTATTTCTATATATATCGAATACTATTATCTTCCTCGTATAATCACTCTTTTATATTTTAAATTAATATCGATGAAAATTTTAACTCGATCAGTATTATTAACACTCCATTAATCCCCACGACATATTTCAATAAGAAAAGTTCAAAAGAAACGACAAAAGTTATATCTACCTAAAAATTAAGTTTTTCTTTTTTATAATTATTATATTACTTCTTATTTGACATTATATAAATATTTACATTTTCATATTATTAAATAGTCTTAAAACTCTAATATCACAAGAGAAGTAACATGAAAAAAGAAAAAATAAACTTATATATATACTTATAATACAGGGATTTTGATAGTATATAATAACATATTAAGCATAATTTATATGAGTTTGAAAAAATAAATTATATTAAATTTTATTATTATTAGAATAGATGAGAGATTATTTTCAAAAAATTATGGTAAAATAGAAAAATGATTGATCGTAAAATAACGAGATAAACAGAGCGATAGCACCGGAGACTCACCGTGAGCGATTATTCCGATCAGCACTAAATTTGCAGCTAAAAACCGGTTGTCTAATATTCCCCTGAATCTGAAAAACCACCGGGCTACACTCCGGTTCACCACCAAACTGAAAAACAAACCGTGGATCCGGTTCAGCTCGAACCGCTATATGCAACATCGCCACCGGTTTATCCTTCTCCGCCGTCGACGTCGACCCCAATTTCATCCACCCATTCTGAAACACTCTCCCCTTGGAATTCGTCCCACTCAAATCCACACTGACCTGAACAGAACCCATCAATTTCCCCGACGTAACTCCACACGCGCGGCCACCCATTCGACCGGTGAAAACAGAGACAGTTAGGTTTATGGGTTTTGCAGATGAACGACGGAGTGCGGCAGCGTCGAGATGGAATCCGGTTGCGATTGCAGCGGATTCCGGCGGAGATTGGGTGTCTGAATTTGGGGAAAGAGGGAGAATTGTGGTTTGGGTAGGGAAATTTTTGAGCTTAAGTTTTGCGTAACAAGGAGTTGAAGATGGATGGATTCCATGAGAAGCTGATTTAGTTGCTGTTAATGGAAGTTTAAGAGCTAATGATTCGATAATTAAACGAACAAATGGACATGGATCCATTGAA